TTTGATTTCTAGTACCTCACTCATACAGATATCATCTTGGTCGATTCATACATAAACCCACTAAGCTTTTTACGAATGCGTTATGGAGTTTGAATAAGTGTCAATACTAATTTTTACCGACTTATATCGTAATATTTATATATGTGTTGTCATAATATACCCATACATATGTATTTATGGTGTTCATGATTGCGAAATAAAAATATTATAATTATTACATCTTACTCGTAACATAGGAAATAATCTTATTATATGATGTCTTAAAACAATGATTATAACAGACATAATATGTTGTTATACGAAGTGAATATTTTCTTTTCACTTTCCACATTCTTTTACTATATAGCCGACACAATACTTTCATTTAATCATCACATAAAAGACGGTGAGAAAATGTCACGGCCTTATAAATATTATTGTGCAGTTTTTATCAAAATAAATGCACTTAAAATTAATTTAATTTCTTTTCACTTTTAAATGCTTATAGAACCCACACATCACTTTCGACTATACAGTATACGTACATTTGAATACCATATATAAGATCGAATTCAAAAATCATAATAATCTTAACAGCTGCACTCAGAGTCAGATTTTTATACTAAATCTACACTAAATAACTCGGTTAGTAGCCACTAAACGACTTAACGAAGTACTCAAACTATTGAGCAATGCCATTGAATATTTATCAATCCAATTTGTAGCGATATTTGTTATGCAAACAATGTTAATACATTTTTTATCAAACATCTTGTTACTCTCATCAGCGCCTTAATTGAGGTAAAATTGATCACCGAGCGACGAACCGTCATCAATATGCAATCAGTGGGACCTAAACGTCGCCTCTAATAATAGGTAGCCCTTAAATTGGATATTTATGGCACGCCCAAGTCATTAAAACAACACTAGGGAATGCATATTAACATAAAATCGATACTGTAATAAAGTTCTTTAATATTTTTTGTAATTTGGAAAACCAATGCATTTATGCAGTATCTTAATTTTTCATGATTTTCTAGTCACTCAATCCTCGTAATCTTTCAAGCAAACCACATTCTCTAAGATCTACTCACTAATATTTTCTTACACATTCATAAAACTCTTCTTGTCACATACGTCATACCCATAACCAAAACAAAACTTTAATGAAATTGAAGATAAGTTCGCAGTAGTCCGTCTGTTAACATAGTTGCTAAGGCAAATAAAGTATTCTTTCTTGTAAATGCCTGCATCATTCAGTTAATTTGCGATGTATTGTTTAACCAGTTTTCATTCATCCTTATCGTAGCGTCGTAAAACAGTATTAGTTCCACATGGTACAGGAAGCGCCGCGAGCGACGCTAACCACCGGTAATTGGCGGTTTTGCTATTTCATGTCGATGTCGATAAACATCCAGTAAATATGTACATTCTCATTACAGCATTTTATGCGATTTATTCCTTTTATTTAATCTTAAGTGTTTGTATACACAAGCACGATAGTTGAATACTTGAATTGTATTTAGAAGTGAAATTAAAACAACGTAATTAATTAACGTAATAATGTTTCCAATTAATTTCGTACACTTATTATGTCTAATGAAATACCTTAGACCTATTATCGATCGTGTTTTTAAACAAATATTCCTGTAAAGGCATGTTTTAGGTATTAGTCAAAAATTGACAAAAAAAAATCAAATTCATAACTACATTTCAAATATTCTGTTAAAAATTTTAAAATCAATTACAATGTACTACTTAAATAAATTAAATTTGGAACACATTGACGTCAACATACATTTTAATTTACGTGCAACATTTCATGTGTCGTGTCGAGCAAATTATGATTGACCAAGACATTTCGTGTAGGACACACATAAGCAAAAAATGTGGGTGAATTAGTTGAAATGTTGAATTTCGCAGAAGCGTGAAAAAGTGTTACAGTTTCGATGGTCGATATCGTTGTGAAACGTTGCGGGAATGCGCTAATAATCGCTGGCAGGCTGGCGCGGCCTGCAATGTGCAATTTGCTCACAGCTATCGCATAGTCACGCGATGGTCGACCTACCCGCCTTCCGTAACCGTCCCTGCGTAAGTAATTGTAGTAACCCTTTACACTACTTTTTATGTGCATTTTACTGCAATTAACACATTTGATGTAATATTAGGATCAATACATTGATGTGGTATAAGGGTATTTTGTTATTCACTACGTCAAAGAAATCTAAATCACAATTTCATGGCGTTTATTATTTTACACTATTTTCACCTGATAGCTAATCCAAAGATTTGTCGAAATTACTGAACTTTTGTTTACTTTCTCTTTAATCTTACATACCTTATATTAGAATGCTGATACGACTGTTCCAGGGCGTTTATGACTCGATGAGTGATGACACAGCTTTGGTACAGATAACTTGTCTTGTCTGGTACTCATATATAAGTGTTCAAGTATCCAATCCTCTTATCGAATTAAATGCGTCAATGTTACAGAAAACAGGAGTAGGTATTACATAAGAAACACTCACGCCGGTTATTTATACGTAAAACTTACCTTTTAACATGGCAAAAGTAAATACGCATTTTAATTTTTTTTTACATCTCGGTATAATTTAACTTTTTAAATTGTAATGTTTTTATATTTCAACGATGAAGATATTTAAATGTAATTAGTAATATAATTTGAAACCAGTGTACTAGTAAGTAGAATATAAAAAATATATGAAGAAAATCTCATTCGGCAAATATAAACTTTTCTTAAAAATGATTTCTAAGAAAAATTCTCTCGCCTCGCCTTCTTTGTATAGAAGCGGCCATTTTGCTCATTTAGTGTCGGATTTTCTTTTGAAAAACGCCGCCTAAGGTCCCATATGTACGCGAAATGAAATAGTTTTTACATGCATTAGCACTTATCGTTCTGTGAAATGTGAAAAGTATCACGTTCCTTTTCAAGCATTGGTTAGTTTTTGAGCGTGATTTCGTTAATATTTTATTGTATTTACGTTTTTCATTTAAGAGCAAAGTTGGGGTTAATAGCTATTTCGTGTCGTTAAAGTATCGAAATTGACATAGCTATTTGTTAGCCGTATATTTCTGTTCTAAGGCGTGACTTTGTAACACTTCGACACTTGACATCGATTATTTTATCCTTTCACCAATGTATTCGTCTAGTTATTTACACTGCTAAGGAGAAATATTTGTTGAATAATGTAAAATATTTTTTTTATAATTTAATCGTTTTCCTAATTCTGAACGTTTGAAAAAGGTTGTTCTTAAAAACATAAAACAACATTAATTAAATTGATTACAATTACGCTTTGTGTCGTTTAGAATATGAATCGTACAATATTTTATAAAATTAAAAAAAAAACTAAAAGCGAAGCATCAATTCTATTGCGCCCACTCACTTTTACACCATTTAACTTTTAACCTTTACCGCTGACATTTAACTAATAGAAATGATTTTGTTGCGCCTAGTTTTCCAGCAAATGAACTGCTTTTGTTCTTACTGCCTATTCAACTCCTTAGCTTTCGCGCGAGTTTCGCAAACTTCCTGTTTCACGACACATTTGCCTTAAACCAATATACGTATCCAGAATGCCTAATAGTGAACTACGAATAGCATTGTTCAGAGCCGCTATTGTGCGCGGTGTTATTAATTAATCACAAACTTTAAACTACTTAATGGATGCCGAGGCGATGCCGAATGCTTGTACAACGCCATTACAAATTAAAAATTATAATTATAGTACCCGGAGCTCAGACACTCATATAAAATAGAGGTTAATCGTTTCAAATTATAAAAATATCCTATTTTCTATACATACATACAAGATATTAAACCTTGAAATTTGCCATTGAGTAAAAATAATAATTAGGCGATTTTATTCAAATTAATCGAAGTCTACATGGACGACGACCGTTTTAATACTCAAAGGCTTGTCAGCTGGCGTTTTCAAGAATTCAGTAGAGAGAGAGAGAGAGAGTTGAAAATTCCCGGTTATTGGGTAACTTGCAGTGCGAGGGGAGGCGAGGGTGTGCGGAGCGCAGGGCAATACGTGCGGGATGCTGGGTGAGGCGTGCGGAGTGCGGGGCGCTGACGAGGCGCCTCATTGATCGCGGCCCTCGCAGCATCCCCGAACCCGCGCCGCGCCGCAGACCCGCCGCCTTCGCCCTATACAACCACAAAATTCCACGCTCGAGCCTGTAATGGCTACATTCCATAGCCTATCTTAACTGTTGACCTCGTTGCGATCAATGAAAAATGCCAATGACTCCATTCTACAATAGTAAATGTATTACTAAATATTGTACATGCAACATTGCACTTAATAATACATAGCGGTGGTAGGAATAAACTCTATAGAAAAAAATATCTAGGTAGTCAATAACGATTCGTTCTCTTCAATATAACAAAGTTAATAAAAAATGCAGGTATGCACTAAAATTTATCACAGACCAAATCAAAGAGAAGAATCAAAATTCGGCAGGGCACAAAAATTAACATAATTAGAGGGGGAGCGGCAGGGACGATCCCGAGGCATGTGCC